CTTTTATCCTACAGATAGATGGCTTTCAAAACATTAGCTATCAGCAAATATTCGTTTCTAGAATTTATTTAGAGCTTTACAGGATTGTCCAAACATGTTCAGCTTTTAAATTGTGCCCTACAAAGAGATTGATGTTAGATAGTGCATTAATATATATATATATATATATATATATGTATATACTCTTGTTTACTACACATTTGTAAAATTAATATAATTTCACGTATAAAGTTTTTTATGCAGATATTATTCCATAATTTATTTTCATTTTATTCTTCTTAAGCTTTAATAAAATAAAAAATAATATAATAAAATACGTTTAGTGGGGCCCATGCAAAGTAAATATGTGCTCACCACAATCTTCAGAAAACTACTACCAAGTTTTCGATTTGGTAGTTTTAATTAAATTGATAACTTTCCTTTTTTTTTCTATAAAAAATAGATAATACAATATATAAAGTTCATCACATTAAAATAAATCGTAATAAAAATATTTTTATCAGCTCTAACAAAGTCCATTTAAAACGTTTCATATTATAAATAGTCTTGAGAGTTGATCTTTTACTTAAACAAATCAGAGTATAAATTTCCAGAGATAATAGTTTCATATAATAAAAATTGGATTTTCTGCGTGGCTGAAATCTATCCACACTAATCAATTGATAGCATTTATTTTACAACAAAAACTACCAACGTCAAAGACAAACATTAAAAAATCAAACGTTAAAAAAACATTTCTGGCTGATTTGCCACTCTAAATAAGAATTAGTCAAAAGAATCACGATTACGAAGGAAATGAAAGTATTAAATTACAATAAACGTTCCTGAAAGTCGAACGTGTTTATCAAAGAAAGAAAATCACGGTGATTGAATTTCAATGACTTGAAAAGCAAACTGGTTTAGTCTTAAACCAAAGATTTCTTTTTCCCAATTAACAATGAAAATTTAAATATCATAGGAGAGGCTTTTTCAACGCATTTATTTTGAGATTAGTCGCCCTACTCGGATCTTTGTTTTTGATGCAGACGTGGCCAACATCCTATGGTAATTACTTACGCTAAAACTTTTCATGTCTTCTAATTAGTTGAAAAGGATCTGAAAGCTGTTCTTTTCTTTTTTTTTTGTCTTCACTTTACTTTCTTTTAGCTTGGTTATTTGTCCATCGAAATTCTTGTCAGCTTGAATTTTTTTTTCTTCCTTTCGTTATTGTTATTCTTTTCTTCTTACACACTTGTAAAATGTCTTTCAGGATAAAAGACGTAAAAGATTTTGGATATCGATATTTTTTTTTTTATTCTTTCAGTAAATGTTGTATGTGTGTACTCGATCCATCCAGGTCTTTCAAGTGATTATAAGAAATCCGAAAATAGCTATTTGTGTTTCTTTTTGTATTGTTCCGAAGGCCATTTAGAGCATTTCAAGCGTTTTCAAGAAAGTTTACACAATTTAAACGACATTGGTTTCAATTATTTTAAAGTGAATCGTGCCTTTCTTCTTAAAGGTTATTTTTTGTTAACTCAAAATTTTTCTCTTTTACACAATGAATTCTCCATCCCTCGTATTGTGGTAGTGAAGCACATTGAAAACGACTTCCTGGTATATATATCCTTGAATTTTTCGTTATTATTTTGAGCTTTATGTATCACACTGATAAATATATGTTTTTAAAATCAAACGCCAGAGTGGCCGGGTAACCGCTTTGGATTTCCTAACAATGTCAGATGGATTTGAATGTTACCAAGCAAAGATAAATCTTATTTACAAAATTTATCTTAAATGTCTAGAGTGGACTGGTCGCCAATGCTTTGGGTTTTTAAACTAAGGGAGCCCGATCTGAAATTCGCTGAGCAGAAGTAAATCTTGTTTGTAAAATTTTTGCAAGGCTGGATATGATTGATGGATAATCCAATCCAAAATTCAATAATAATAATTAAATTAATAATAAGTTCCCTATAATTGTTGGTAATTAATATATGTCGAGTATGTGTATTTGATCCATCCAGGTCTTTGATGAGATTATAAGAGAGATAAAATAGCTAATTTGTGTTTCTTTCGGTATTAATCTGAATGCCATTTAGAGCATTTCATCCGTTTTCAAGAAAGTTTACACTGAACTAACACAACTGTTAGAGACATAAGTTTCAATTATTTTCAAGTGAATCTTGTCTTCCTTTTTAAAATTTATATTAACTAAAGAATTTTCTGTTTTTCTGATACAAATTCTCCATCAATCGTATTGTATCAGTAAGACACATGCGAAATATCCTCCAGATAACTTTGAGTATTTTTCTTTTAATATTATGATCTTCATATGTTACACTGATAAATAAATATTTTTTTTAATTCTTCATCAAACACTAGGGGGGCCAGGTAGACGGCTCTGGGGTTTCCTAACTGTGGGAGAAGGATTGTGATTGTGAAGGAACTGTGTGATTTATCTCATCAAGCAAAGATAAATATTGTTAGTAAGATTCTTGTAGGGCCAGGAAGGCTTCGTGGAAAATCCGTAAATTTCCCTGAAACTGTTCGTAATTAGTAAATGAGGGGTATGTGTACTACTGGATCCATCCAGGTCTTTCAAGTGATTATAAGATATCTGAAAGAGCTCATTTGTGTTTCTGTATCGTTCAGAAGGCCATTTAGAGCATTTCCTCCGTTCTGAAGAAAGTTTACATAATTTAAACAATATGTTTCAATTATTTTAAAGTGAATCTTGTCCTTCTTCTTGAAAAATTGTATTTTGTTAACACAAGATTTTTCTCATATATACAATAAATTCTCCATCTGTCTTATTGGGACAGTAAGGGACATTTAAAAAGGCTTCCTTTTATCTTTGAATTTTTTTCTTTTAAGATTTTGCAATTCATATGTTACACTGATAAATACATGTTTTTAAAATTCTTCATCAAACTCTATGTTGCCCAGGTAGCAGATTTGGGTTTCCTAATTATGGGAGATAGATATGAATTTCATCAAGCAAAGATAAATATCTTATTTGCAAAATTTTTCAAGAAGAATTTTGCTCAGAATGGACTGATATATAACGCTTTGGATTTCCTAACTGATGAAGCCGGTTTTAAAACTCGCTAAGCAGAGAAATTGAGTTTACTAACTGTTGAAGCCGGATTTGAAATTTGTTAAGGAGAGGTAAATCTTATTTGTAAAATCCTTGAAGCACCAGGCAGGTTTGGTGGATAATAAATTGAGTCCCCTAAAATTATAAACACGTTATACATAAATAAACATAACATTGATAAAGACGTTAAAATTTAAGAAGAATATGTGATTTATACTAATAAAATTTGTATGGAACCTTGATGTTTCCATTTAAGTTTCAGATATATACATGTATAGAATAGAGATGATTATTCTAAATGATGTAATTATTTAATAATCATGTTTAGGTTCAAAAAATTAAAAAACATGAAAGTCATCCGAAATTAGGAAACAATTTTTACTTTATTTTTGTTCTGTGTTATTAGAATCGTTAATGTTCATCACTTACGGTCAATCCTTACAAATATAGATTACGTAAAATAAGTAATATATATTATTTTCCAATTCAAGGAATATCTTTTTAACCCAAATATGTATATTGAATAAAATTTGATTCTATATTATAAACAATCCCGACTCGTGGTTCAGTTTAACTCGTGCAGCTTGCGTATAAGAACGCACAGGTAAAAATCCTAGTTCAAACTATAAATCCTACAAGTCGCTGCTTTCAGAAAGGAGGAGACCCGATGGTTATTATGATAACATGTGTAAATAGTCTTACATCGGTAGATAGGATTTTGAGAGTAACATTATTTTCCCATAAGACACAAAACGTGTAGGGCAATCCCTTAGAAGTATCCTCAGAAGTCCTCTGGGAAGGCAATGTCCCATATCAACTATCTGTGGGTCCGTGGTTTATTCGCCGCTTACATAAATAGAACTCAAGACCCAACGATATTCAGCTATATATTTATAATTCAAAATTTTAAATGCTGCTTTTTATTAAATTTTTAATTCCTAAGTGAAATATGCATAACCAACAACTTATAACTCTGTTAAAAAGACATGCCAGAGCATGTTTTATTCAAAGTTTATCCAAAGTTTATGTTTCATGAATACGAAATTTATACAATATTCAAATTTTGCACCTTCACCTTTTATATAACGATACATTTATTATCGATATATAAAGAGGAACAATTTAAAAATATTATTGCTATAAATTTAGGTAGATAATTATTTTGGTTAAATTCATTTGTTGTTACTCTTAATATGTATAAATAATAATATGTGATGAGTTTACTTATGTAAATTGAATCGAATTCATCAAAATACTATTTTTTTTATCATTTTAACAACACTAGCAAAATATTTGCGCCAAATAAGTTTAAAAATGATGCATATAAAAGTTAAGCAGATAACTAAAACAAGAATAGTGTTTCCATGCATTTGAAAAATAATTGGAGTTTTGCTACCAATGTAAAATATAATCCAAACAATTTCATCTATTTCCATGCCTCTGTTTACATACTTTGATATTTAACAATCATATTTCAAATGCAATTCGTAGATGATATAATTTACTGAAAAATTTTCATGGTGAGAAAATAAAATATGTTCGGCTTTTACAATGCATTTATATAGTGGAAACAGAGATAGAGTTAAACATAGTTCTTGCCAAAAAAATATACTATATAAAAAGTTTTTTCTAATATGCATGCAAATCCTAAATTATTAAAAAAAAATTATGAAAATTATGGAAATTTTATCTTTGATTTCTCTTTAAGGAAATTCATAGATAAAATAAAACCTTTAAAATTATACATATGCCTTTACTAATAAAAAGGAATTATAATACATATTGAACAAAATATTAATAATTATTATAATGACTTAACATGAAACTTGTTTTGAAATACTTGTCTTATAATCTGCAAATATAATTATATTATTATAATTACAAACTTAAATATTGCGATTTGCTAAGAAAAATTAATTACAGAAATCCGCGACAGTGTTCGAATCAGTAATCTTCTGATTCAAAGTCAGATGTCTTATCCTTTAAGACACGCGGAGATAAAATGTTAATTCAAATTAAATGTTTTAAAAATTAATTAATAGTTTATTAAAACATCAATAAGCTATTTAAAATTATTTAAGTCATATCATTAAAAGTATTATTAATTATTTATTAAATTAATTTTTTTATAATCCAAACTGATGAATTCATGGATTTCTAGTTAAGCTCTCGTATACTATATTTCTTTTAGTATTTGCACTGCTTATTTTTTATAAACATCATACTTCATTATTTAGTTCAAAATCTTTTTTAACAAATAAGATGTAGGGCCAGAATAACCTATTAGATGACAATTTAGGTTTCCAAACTAAACGAACTTGTTTCGAAACATGGTGGATGATCTAAAACCAAAAGCTTCTGCATCTATACTCAAAATAGGCTCAATTAAATTCTATACTAATGCCTAAAATTCCATCTGTGACTTGAGAAGATGAATAGGAATGTGTAGACAACCAGATTCCATGTTTGGGGAGATGCCTGTTCCATCTGCGTTTGCTGTTTATGGATGAAGTGAAGGGTGCATCCTAATTAATTCTGAATTCCCTGTATCTCAACCATGGCAGTGCTACACGACTCCTGATAAAATACGCCAATATTTTCAATATTGCCATTTAGCATTGAAATATTTGAAAAATTTGACATTGAGATATTTGACATTGGAATGAATTATTTGAAATTGTGTCAGATCAACTCTGCAAAACAAATGATATTAAATTTAAATATGAATTTATCACATTTTTTTATTAATCATAAGCAGTAAATAAAATAAGAGACATTTTTCAACAAATTAAAACGAAGAACTGGGTGTCTGAATTTTATATATGCAATCTTCAGCTATACAGCTTAAATGATTCACGAAAAAAGAATTGGTTAAATATGTGTACATAATAACTTCACTATTGATGTGCAATTAAGAATATATATATATATATATCCTGAAATGTAATTATACGTGTTGAATTTATTATAAATACAGCACATAAATTTGTTTAATGGACGTAGTATGGATACAACCTTTAGCTTGTAATTAAAAATGATGTAAATGGCATCACCTAAATTCATTAACTTAAGTTAATCTCATTAACTCATCAAATTCTATAAAATCCAATAATACTAAACTAGAAGTCTTGACAACATGTATAATCATATAACAAAAAGGATTTTCTAGTAAAATAATCGATAGCAATTCAGTGCTCCAAGAAAATATTATGTGATAAATTATAATAAAGTAAATCACGTAAATGCAAATATATAATTTTTGTAATATATTCAAATGCTTTTGACATGTTTAAACACGGTTTATTTTTTAATAAGGGGGATATAAAACATTTGATATCAGGATATGTGTAGAAGTGCTTATAAATGTTTTATTCAATAAATATGTAAATTTAAAAAACAATTGTATTTTTCTACCTGAAAGAAATCACTATGAGTAATTATAAAATTATTCATGACAGTCTTTATTAATGCTTTCAGTAATTTTATAATGTAATAAAAGATGCTACCCAGCATTAAAAACAGTTCACGAATAAATTTACTTTATCATATAACTGTCTGTCAAATAATTGAAAAAAAACCTACAAAATGTCACATTTCAACAATGTTTCTATCATAATGTACGCAGCATATTGGGAATTTTAGTCAATAAATTTCTCCAAAAATAGAGAAAACTAATAAATATGAACAATAAAAGTGACTATAGCGAAGTAATTTAGAAAAATTTATTATTTTTTTCTAATTTTATTCAATTTATATCTTAGAGTACAAAAACCTTTTGCTTAGTTTTTCCAAATTGATATAAGTTTAAAGATAATTTTGAATTATTTTTCCTTTATACTCACCCTAATACTAAGCTACTCAAAACAATAGCTGCTACCAAGGTGCATTCTAACATCATCACATTGAAAAGAGCTGAGATATCTCAATTTTCTGTTCTTAATGTAAACATAATTTTTTAAACATCCAGAAAAATATAGAAAGAGTCTTCTACCTTTTTGTGAAATTTATAATAATCAACAAGAGGAGAAATAAGGCTCAAAATCCCTCTGCACTTGCGCTATTTATATAAAAAAACGCAAATTTATACAAAATAAATGCAATTTTTACCATATATCAAAAATCGAATATCTAATCAACAGATTAATTTTTTTTTAAGTTTGCATGTATAAGTATAAAATATTTTCAGTCATTTCATTAATATATATATATATATATATTTAAAAAAAATAAGACATTATATCGATTAAATTAGATTATTGTTCACACAAAAAGCTATCTCTTGCAAAGTTTATTATAAAAGAAGTATTAACGTGTATTTATAAAGAAATTTTTTAGATGATGACATAGAAAAAATGACGCCATATTTTGCACATAGAAAAATGACGCCAATAATTCTACAAAATTTAATGAGAAAATCTCTGCATCAATTCATGAACTACATAATAAAATGCCGCTATCCTTTTAAAAAGACTAGCTAGTTTTTTTTTCTTCTTTAAGAAACTGTCATTCTTGTCATGTTTTTTTTTTTTTTTTTTTTTACACATTACTTTTTTTTCTTTGTCAAATTAAGGCTTTCAAAAGCTATTAAAAGATCCCTTCAAACACCCTTTGAAAAAAGAATGTTAAAAAAAAAATCTTCATCGTATCTTACTTTACTTCTGAGATTGACAGTTTTGAAGTTATCAAGATTCAATCATTCTGACATTTCTTTCTATTGAATTTATCAGTTTTCCACTCTAATGCATTCACTCTATGGATTAAAGATTGGTTTAAAAACACAAGATTGTATACGTACTTTTTCTTCATACATGTTCATTACAAAGGTTTTGCTAGTGTTATGGAAATTGATTTAAAAATGTTTTTTTCCTCCAATTCCGAGCACTGTGAGCTAAGGTCATACATTAAAATGGCAGATATGAACGGATGTTGCTTTTCCTGTGATGAAATAAACATGGTTCATAATTAATGTCTCATATACCACCAAATGCAAAAACGTTAATGAAAAGCAATATTGAAGAAGATGGGCTGTGTTTAAAAATGTCTATAGTTCAGTGTTCAGTTACAAAAATTGCATTTTGTTAAATTCCAATCGCTGAACAGTAACAATGCTATTTTCTGAAGAAAATCGTAGATATTTCTGAAAGAAACCTTTCGTTGTACTTTACTCCTTGTGTTGACAATTTTGAAGTTATCAAGATTCGATCATCATATCTATTGTATCTTCCGGTATGTTATATATATTGTATCTGATATGATATATCATTGTATCCGATATGATATATCTATTGTGTATCTTTTTTTCCACACTAATGCATTCATTCAATGGATTTGAAAATGGTTTAAAACACAAGATTGGATATGTTATTTTCTTTATACACGTTCATTACAAAATCTTCTCCAATCATATATGGAAACTGATATAAAATATGGTTTTTTTTCCGGCGATTCAATGTACTGTGACCTGAGGTCATACATTAAAATGGCAGATATGGGGCAGATGTTGCTTTTCATCTCATGCAACATACATGTTTCACAATTAATGTCTGAAATACCACCAAGTGCAAAAGCATCAAGGAAAAAGCAATTTTTAAGTAGATCTGCTGTGTTTTAAACTGATGTCAGTAGTGCAATGATTATTTTACAAAAACGACATTTTGTTAAATTCCATCACTTATCAGTAACATAGATGTTTCTGAAACTGTTGTTTCCTTTTTTTGTTGTACTACTGAGATTGACAGTTTTGAAGTTATCAAGTTTCAATCATTCTAACAGGCATATCTATTGAACTTATCAATTTTCAACTCCAATGCATTCACTCTATGGCTTTGAGATTGGTTTAAAAACACAAGATTGGATATGTTCTTTTTTTTTCATACATTTTCATTACAAAATTTCCTCCAGCCTTATTCAAATTGACGTAAAACACGTTTTTTCAATCGAATTCCATGTACCTGAGGTCATACATAATGGCAGATATGTAGCAGGTGCTGCATTTCATTTGACGAAACAAAGAGAGTTCCCAATTAATGTCTCAAATACCACCAAGTGCAAAAGCCTCACGGAAAAAGCAATTTTTAAGAAGACCTGCTGTGTTTTAAAATGATGTCTATAGTGCAATGATTATTTTACAAAAATGACATTTTGTTAAATTCCAATCACTTATCAGTAACAATGTATATAAATCCTGCTATTTACGGAAGAAAATTGCAGATATTTCTGAAAGAAACTTTTTGCTGTACTTTACTACTGGGATTGACAGTTTTGAAGTTATCAAGATTCAATTATTCTGACAGTCAGATCTATTTAAATTATCAGTTTTCCACTGCAATGCATTCACTCAATGGCATCAAGATTGGTTTAAAAACACAAGATTGAATATGTTATTTTCTTCATCCATATCCACTACAAACTCTTTGCCAGTTTTATGGAAATTGATGAAAAATATATTTTTTTTTTCTTTTCGATTTCAATACACTTTAGCTTGAAGTCATACATTAAAATGGCAGATATAAAACAGGTGTTGCTTTTGATCAAACCAAGACAGTTCGCAATTAATGTATCAAATACCAACAAATGCAAAAGATTGAGGAAATTTCAGTTTTTTAAAAAAAAGGGTTGTGTTTAAAAATGATGTCTATAGTTCAATGATTCTTTTACAAAAATGACATTTTATTAAATTCCAAATCACTGATCAGTAACAATGTATGCTATTTTCTGAAGAAAATCTGAGTTGTTTCTAAAAGCAACTTTTTCGTTGTATTTTCTTCTTTCCCTTAAAAGCATGTTACTTTATGATTTTATTTGTCAATGCAGATAAAAATATCCCTCTGGGTCCCAGCTAAAAAGAAACAAAAATAATAAAAAAAATCAATTTATCCTATTTCGCATCTGAGGTTGACAACTACGAAGTTATCATGATTCAATCGTTTTGATGCATCCATACATTGTGTTTATTCGCCTGCATTGATTTTTCGCGCCATGCGCCCGTTTTATAGCT